GCTGAGGAATCGTCGGGAAAACGTAATTTGTGTGGTTGTGTGTTGATATATATAATATATACTATATATATATATTATATATATATCTATTATATATATCTATTATATATATATATATATATATATATACATGACTGCCCAGCGATTAGCTCAGTGGTTGAACACTGGACTTCCGACCCCCGTGTCCCGGGTTCCATTCCCTGTCGCGCAGTCGTAAAAATGCCCTGCGCTCTGACTTGCTTGCTCGAGCCCGAGAAAAGACATACGCTTCGGAAGTCAAAACGCAGGTGTCGTATGGTAAAGGCCACCGCCGTTGCACAGGTGTTAAACGCGCCGACCGCGGTTTATTATGAAGGGCATCCATCAGGCAAGGGTGGTCACTGCCATAGACTCTTAATAATGAATTGAGAGTACCTATGTCCTGTAGTGGAATGAATTGCTGTTGCAGAAAAAAAAAAAAATATAATATATATATAATGTATGCAATATATATATATATATATAATATATATATATATATATATATATATATATATATTATATTATATTTTAGTTATATTATATTAATTATATATTATTATTATATTATATTATATATTATATATGATATATTATATCGATATATATATATATATATATATATATATAATAATATAGATACTATCTTTTTATATTATATATATAATATCATATATATATATATATATTATTATATAAATATATATATAATAGGATAATATAATATATATAATATTAATTATATATATTATATTTTTTATATATTATATTTATTATATATTATTTATTATATATGATATTATAATATTAATAGTTAAATATTTAATATATTTATATTATTCTATTATATAGCTTAATATGTTATATATTTATATATATTTATATCCGTATATCTATCTATCTAAGCTCTATCTCTCTCTATCTCTCTCTATCTCTCTCTATCTCTCTCTATCTCTATCTCTCTCTATCTCTCTCTCTCTCTCTCTCCTCTTCTCCTCCTCTCTCTCTCTCTTCCCCCTTTCTCTCCTCTCTCTCTATATATTATATATATCTATATATATATATATTGATATATCATATATATATTATATTTGATTATATATTATATTTATTATATCTTATTATATTTATTATATATTCTATTATATTATTCATTATATTCACTATTATATATTATATATCTTATCTATATTATATCTATACTCTATGTTATATATTCTATCAATATATTGACTATCCGGTAGTATCTATCTATCTATCTCGACTACTCTCTCTATCTCTCTTCTATCTCTCTCTAGCTCGCCTATCTCTACTCTCTCTATCTTCTCTCCCTCTCTCTCTTCGATTCTCTCTCGTCTCATCTCTTTCCTCTCTCTCTCTCTCTCTCTCATCTACTATATATATATTATATATATATATATATATATATCTATTCCTATTATATAGCTTAGATATAGATATACTATATGTAAAATATGTTAAGGCGTTCAGTCAAATTAACGAGCAAACAAAGCCGAGCACAGACAGCGCCGTTCGTTAGTGGGGGAGGGGGGCGCTCAGGCCGGTGAGTTGAGCTGCAAGGGCCGGCTGGTGAGGGAAATAATGGTGATGATGACGATGATGATGATGGTGATGGTGATGTGATGATAATGTTGAGGGACACGTGATCTGGCCTGTCCTAGATTATCGATCTCGGAAGACCGTCGCTAGGAAGCCAGGTTATGCAACATCTCCACAGGCGCATCAGTGCAGCGTTCGGGTTGGCTTCTTCGCTTTTACGTAAATTACCTTTTCTTCCTTTTTTGTTCATTTGTGTTCTTCGTCTCCTGTTTTTCTTTTTTTTCTTTTCTTTTTTTTGTCAACTTTCTCGTACACATCCCCCCCCTAATGAGTGCAGATGCGATTTTTTTTCTTTGTTTTATTTTTCCCCTTGTGGTTGTCCGAATGCATTGCTTGCGGAATGAGGTTGCTTTCCCTCGTTCGAATTGGTTTTGCCTTGACTTCATATTTTACAATGGGAGATTCGGTTCTTGTTCTCGTAACCTGATTATGAATATGTAAGGGTGGCATAGGGTATACACACGCATACGTACATGAGGCAAGCAGGCAGACAGGTAGATAATGGGCAGGCAGGCAGATAAACAGGAAGATAGGCAGATCGATTATTTGATTGATTTATAGTGTTTTTGATTTTGAATAATTTTCCGGCTTAGAATATTGTCCAGAAATAACCTTTCCGCGAATATTATTACTGCTTATAAAATTGCCCAGTTTCCGC